AAGTGAGTTACTAGATTTTGCCTTTTGACGGGAGATAGTATAACAACTATGCGCACACACTTGGACTAATAAAATCAAATGAAATGGGGTTTAACGTCCTACTGTTCTGCTCCGAACTGAGCTAATTAAGACGGGCATACGCCATGCAGTGTGCTATGAAGGACATTTTGCCCACCCAACGGCACGACGGCCTACTCTTATATCGAATTCCAACTGTCAAGGGATCTTTTACGTGCTCGCTAATATGTATACGTAACCTCGATTTTTCGTCCCGTCTAAAAGTCTATATGGAAAGAAAAGAATTCAGACATGTTTGAATCCTCGATTAGAGAGCCCGAATTCATGGATGATCTTCAAGATGTATATTGTATCCTTGACCACAATAATATCGACAAGTCTGTGTTAAAATTTAACAAAAGTCTCAGAACTGTTGGTGATCGATAGAGAGAGAGAGAGAGAAATGAGGTTTAACGTCCATTGGACATAAACTAGGTTATTTCGGGGCTAACTTATGGTTTAATTTAATTTCAATAATTCGCTTGCGGGTAGGGGACTTTAGCGGTGGGAGGAAACCGGAGGACCCGGAGAAAACCCACGTACATCCGGGGAATCGAAACCACGCCAGTTGACTCAATGACAGACTTCATGATACAGCTCGCACACGCTAACCATTCAGCCCCCCCCCCTTTTCTTGACGAATCAGTCGACAGAACAGGTGCACATTGCTTCCAAGTTGAACTTTCCGCTATTGTGCCGTCTAGGGTAGACAGACCGCCTGTTTATTGGCGAATGATGTTATAACACGGTCCCATGCCATCATAACATGGTCGCGACATCTAATTGACCGGCTGGTTTTTAACCCGATTTAATCCAAGCCCTAAGATTATTTAGCATTGATATTTTTATTTATTTATTTTTTTATTTATTTTTTTATTTATTTATTTATTTATTTTTATTTTTAATTAAATGTTAGAAATTCAATCTAAGTACATATTAATCCCTATAATAAATTTGATATTTTCCTCAAAAACGTAAGTCACGCACCGTTACTTTAAGGAAGCGTGTGAAATAAAGATAAAAGAAAGCATCCGACTTGTTTATTTCTCTGCTACATGTAGGTTAATTGTGTAAGTTGACATATTATTATGTCATATAGTTGAATAATCATGTGTTGTTTTGACAGTTCTACGGTCATGTATAATATATTCTTATGTCACAGTTGATTTATCATTAATCGCCGTGTCCAGTGGCACCAAATTTACCACCATGTCCATGTACCATACCAAATTTACAACCATGTCCATGTACCATACTAAATCTACCGTCATGTCCATGTACCATACTAAATCTGCCGTCATGTCCATGTACCATACTAAATCTGCCGTCATGTCCATGTACCGTACCCAATCAACAACCATATCCAGTGTACCATACCAAATCTACAACCATGTCCAAATCTACAGTCCTGTCCAGTGTACCATACCAAATCTACCGCCAGTCATGTCTAAAAAAACAGGGCAGGCTAGCAATGCCATCGAGAGTTGATTATGGTCTGGATAAGTTAATTAATGTCTAATTAATAGTTTATATAACATTTCAGGCTTAAAGAAAGACCTGCAATAGGCAGATTTAGCTCTTACGTAATATATGTTTAAAATCACCGGAAAAGATTTGTAATGACAGTTATTTAAGTAAAATATTTAATATTTTTAATAAAATATTTAATAATTTTTGTAAAATATTTAATAATTTTTGTAAAATATTTAATAATTTTTGTAAAATATTTAATAATTTTTGTAAAATATATCTATTTTTTGTAAAATATATCTATTTTGTTTGTAAAATATATCTATTTTGTTTGTAAAATATACGTTTTATTTTGTAAAATGGCGTGGTTTCGATTCTCTGCTTGTACGTGACTAGTGGTAGGGTCGCCTGTCCAACATCGTGGGTTTTCATCAGGTCCACCGGTTTCCCCTCACTGCTAAAGATCGCTACACGCTAAGCGAATTATTAAAATGACCTAGTTCGTGTCGAGTAGACGTTAAACACCATTCTCTCTCCCGCTCTGAATTTGAAATCAAAAAAAGAGAAAAATTTCAGACCAGCCCAGCTTTGTTGAAAATATATCTCTACAGCCAAACCTATGTGGTTATTGACTATAAACCTATACAGTAAAGCGTAGGGTGACACTGAACACGAACCCGACCAGCAGTTTTGTAAACCTTAAACATCCGGCAAAACAAGATTTGACATTCTTTTTTCTTAAAAGAAAAATCCTTCTATGTCCACACTATTTGAGCGACGGGTCTGCAATTTATAAGGGATGTTGTCAAACTTAGGGTGTCACTGAACACGAACCCGACCAGGAGTTTTGTAAACCATAGTATAACTTAAACATGCGGCAAAACAAGATTTGACATTTTTAAAGCCCGTTCTATGTTAACACTATGAGCGACGGACTTGCAATTCAGAGTGAAGATGTCCAGCATTTATATTGTACGACATGTGAAATGTAAATGATACAGATACAATACTGTTTGAATTATTCATATTAACACTATGAGCGACAATACTGTTTGAATTATTACACTGACAACAGTGGCCTCTTCTTTTCCTTAGCCACCTGAAATATAATTTATTGCAAAAGGTTTATAAATATCACAGTCACACACGTTATAATTCACTATATCACAATATCTGTCATTTCAATTTGTTTGCTCGAGGGTAGACAGCCAAAATGAAGCATTCATAACCTAAGTTCAGCTTTTATTATTGACAAGAAGAAAATATTGTAAACGGGTTATATTCATGATATATCATGAAATTGTCTAATGTTCGGATTTACAATTCACCTTATATTTTGATGTATATAATTATATTATATTGTTTACTATTTTCTGTATCGCTAGGAAAGAACTTGTATAATAGCCCTTACCTATTTTTCAATCCTTTTCAAATATCCGGTTTCCTCCCACTGCTAAAGACCCCTATGCGCAAGCGAATTAATGAAATAAAATTAAACCATGTGTTAGTCCCGAAATGACAAATGACCTTGTTTGTGTCGGGTGGACGTTAACACCCCCCCCCCTCTCTCTTTTTAAATAAATAGAATATTGTTTAAGCTAAAATCCCTTGTTCGTTTCTACGGTTTCGCCGCGCTGTTAAATACCCGTGTACACAAATGAATGATTCAGATACAGATATAATACCAATTAGCGTAGGAGCCCCCCCCCCCCCCAAATGGTGACAGAGCCTGGCAAAGGACAATGTATAGTCGATCGGATGGGACGAAAACCCGAGGTCCCGGGTACACATTGGCGTACACGTTAATGATCCCTTGGCAGTTGGAATTCGATATAAGAGTAGGCCATAGCGCCGCTGTCCGGGCAACATTTCCCTAATAGCACACTGTATGGCGTATGTCCGTCTTCAGTAACCCAGTCGGAGCAGAACAGTGAATATTGTCCGCGCGGACTTTTTTCAAAAATTCACTTTGGGTGCAATATCTGCGGTTTTCGCGTTCGCCGTCAGTATAAACAAATTTAATTGAAAAAGCACGTAAGCAATCAAATGCCGTCGTTGCGTTCGTTGTCGCGGTCTCGGTCAGTAAAAACGACCGTTAAGAGTTTCTTGTGTATATTCGTGATAGCTGTGTACTTTCAAAAGAAAGTAGGTCGCTATAAACTTTTAATTCATAACTTTCAGACAATTATTAACTTAACGATTAATCATTCTAAAACGAATGAATAATTGCTGTAAAAAGTCAGGTTAAACTGAGTGATCTGTATTCTTGCACTGACATTAAAGACAGAAACAAATCAGTTTTCAAGAATGCGAGAATTGATTTCGCATTTAAATTACACGCTACCATTTATATATGGTATCTATAAATCCCATGGATGGTGGATGGCCGAATGGTTAGTGCGTTCGCGTTGTATCATAACTTCTGTCATTGAGTCAACTGTTTGATTCCCCGGTTGTGACAAGGGGTTTGGACGCCTGTCCAACCTCGTGGGTGCTCTCCTGGTCCTCCTACTGCTAAAGACCCTTACGCGCAAGCGAATTATTGTAATATAATTGAACGGTACGTTAGTACCGAAATGACCTACTTTGTGTCTAGTGGACTTACCCCCCCCCCCCCTCTCTCTCTCTCTCTTCCTCTCGCTCTCTCTATAAATCCCATAAAAAACAGACTTTTTATTATTAAACATACATTATGCAAGAGCTTAATCTATCTATTCAACTCTCGATGGCATCGGCTACTCGAGATTTTAACTAGATTAGAACGGTTCGCCATTTAGAAATCCCCTTGTCAGCGATGGGGGACAGAGGGCCTGACAAGGACAGCTGTCTAGTCTTTCGGATGATACGAAAAACCGAGGTCCCGTGTACACATTTGAATGCTCGTAAAAGATCCCTTGGCAGTTGGAATTCGATATAAGAATAGGCGATAGTGCCGCTGCTCGGGCAAAATTTCCCTCATAGCACACTGTATGGCGTATGCCAGTCTTCATTAGCCCAGCATAGGAGCAGAACAGTAGGACATTAAACCCCATTTCATTTCATTTCATTTCCATTTAGAAATGGGAAAGCGAGGTTAAGTCTCGAATATACCAGTGTCCTTATTACCACAATGCACACATCTTGTCAAAACTACAAACAGTGATAACTTGGCTCAGAATGAAGTAATTTGAATGAAATTTTCAATGTTTTTATTTTACATTATCTATTTTTGAGTTATTATAATATAGCAAGAATGGTCAGTCTTTTATCTAAATCTTGCATAATGTATCTTTAAGTATGTAGATTGCGCGTTGCCAGTTATATAACGTAAAATAATATAAATCTCATGAAAGTCAGAATTTCTGTGATTTACTGGTCGTAAATCATTCGTACAAAAAACAACCGAGATCTCAATCAGCTAAAATTCTCTTAAATAAAATAACAATCAATCACCAGCAGAATAATGAATGTTTTTGTAGACATGTGTCTCTTCTAGAAGACAAACACCAATTGTTGTATAAAAGGAGAAATTTAAATTGTGATACGTCAATTCTTGTCGATTCTTTGGTTAGTGTTAAGCTGTACAGAGACTGTAACGTAACATTTTGAGTTCGCTGCGTTGACAGGGTGCGTATCTTAGCAATAAGGTAAGCTATAATTAGAACTTTAAAAGGGGATTATTTCGCTGGTGTTACCTTGGATTCCAATTGAAATAAGGGATCTCGGAACAACTTCTGGTCATTCGGATAGTTGACGTGAACGTAAAAGAACACTTGGCGTAAAATAGATGAAACTCTTCTCTTTGGACAAATATTCTCGCAACATACACTACCTGGTGTATGTCCATCTTCCATCGGTTTTTTGATGCAGACGTTAGGACATTAAATCCTATTTCATTTAAATTCAGATAATTATACACAATCAATGTGGAGCAATAGCAGAGTACAATTTGGCTCAAGACAGTGAGACAAAAGTAGCCGTTCTTATTCTAGATCAGTGGTTCTCAACCTTTTTTTTGCCAACGGCACACTTTGGAACACATGAAAAAATAGTGGCACACCTGGCTTCTTATATATGAAAAATATCTGAATTTTGCGAAATAAAAACATGGCAAGTCATAGACGGCATACAACCGGAGACTCAAACTAAATAAAGAAAAACACAGTTATGAACTTACTTTATTGCAGTGTTTCGAATTTCATCAGTCATATAGCTGGCTTCTTTAGTGAGAAATTTTCTTAGTGTGCCGTTCAAAACAGTGATTCCCAACCAGTGTGCCACGAGATCTTCCTACGTGTGCCGCGGAATTTTGGAAAAAAAAACATGATCCCAGTTGAATATTCACTGGTTTCTACTTATAAGTTCATAGCTGTGTTTTTCTTTATTTATTTTGAGTAATTCTATGTGTCTATGACTAGTCCCCGTCTCCGGTTGTATGCCGTCGTTGACTTGCCATGTTTTTAGTTTGCAAAATTCAAATATTTTTCATAAAAATTTAGCCAGATGTGCCGCTATTTTTTTTTTCATGTGTTTCAAGGTGTGCCGTTAGCAAAGAAAGGTTGAGAACCACTGCGTTCAAAATTTGGCTGCACACTTAGGAAGATCTTGCCTATGTGCCGTGGCACATGATGTCATTTGCCGTTTGTTTATTTGTCAACAGGCGAATAATGTGACTTATCCTTTGTGTATATTCTATATAAACAGGCGCATAATTTTATTCATCGTTTGTATATAGATGATCAGGCGCATAAGGACTAGTAATTATTTTCCATTATTACGAATGCAGTGCGAGTTATTAATAGACAATTTTTCCCTTATTTTTTTCTCCCCTCTTCCTGCATTGTTTGGTTGACTTTTTGGTCTAGATTTGGACAAAAGGGATAGATAGAATTTGCAATTTCATAGCAGTTTTTGGGTAATTAGAGCGGACGGATAGGGGGTGTAAAGTGTCTTTCTGTAGAGCAATCATTGTGTCGGAAGTCAGATTTTGACCCCAATGAACATTAAATCCCCGTAGCAAATAATTTAAACGGTCCACCCCCTACAAAAGTATGATGAAGGGATTGCTAAATGCGGTCCCCTATAAAGATTGGGACCAACGGAATGTTAAGCAAAAAGCTACAGCCTGTGATGTTACAGCCATTTAACATTGAAGTCAATGTGCGAATAATTGCTAGTTTGAGTCCATATTGTTATAGATCGTATCGTTTGTGTAGTGATAAACGGACGCATATTTCATTTATCGTTTGTGTATAGATGGACAGGCACATAACGTTATTTATCAATTTGTGTATTTATATAGTTGAACAGATGCATATCATTATTTTGAAAGTCATCTATGGATACCCAAACAGCTCTTTATTCATTTTAGCATACAGATGTCGAAATACGACAACAAATGAAGAAATAAGAATTAAGGACTATGAATTAGGAAATAAGGACTAATAACAGTGAATAAAGAGCTATTTGGTCTTCCATATTCATTTCTATTTGATTTTTGTTTATTTAGAATGGACATCTCTCGACGTGTCTTGATCGGTCTACTGGTGTTATCAGTCATTACCTGTGCCGTATCAGGTAAGATATGCACGCTTTTTTAATTCTGTTATCCATTGATAACGATAATGTGAAATCGGTGAAATAAATATCAAGCACACCCGTCCCTGACCAGTGATCAAAATACAAAGTCCTTTGGGTACATTTGACCGACTGACATGGGATTTAACAATCTCATTGACATTTAGATCTATGTGTGTGTGTGTGTGAAATGGCTTTATTTTACGTCCGCTTTAACCGAAGTAATATAGCAGAAATTGTTGGTGTTCTTAGTGCTGAACTTCCGCTTCCACCGAAGGTGATATCGCAGACAAGTCCTATTTTTTTTTCATTTTTATCATCTTAGTGCACGCGCAGGGATCTTTCCTGGGGGAGGAAATCGGAGTACCCGTAGTAAACCCACGAGGTTGAGAAGGTGCCCCTATCACCGAGCCACATACGCTCACACCAGGGATCGAAATCACAGCCGCAAGCCAGAGGTGGTCGGTCTGCTAGAGGTCGAAGTGCGGTACTCTGAACCACAAGGCCATCCCAACTCCCTTAGCAGAAATTATCATTCCACTTCCACCATGGGTGATCTCGTAGACAAGAAGCAGAATTATTTCGTTTCGTTTTTTTTTATACTTTCGATGACCTTTGATTAACCAATCAGCGTTGATGTTTCATTGGCTAATCTCTCACATCAACCAGAATACGGGTTATATAACAACTCTTCCAGATCCTAGTCAAGTAAAACAAAATTTTGAACTATAAAAAACGAAATGAAATAGGATCTGTGTTTTAATCAGATTGAGGGTTGCACCATTGACAAGGAGGAGCCACGCCGGAAAATCCTGATGAACTTACTGGCCGACATCGAAATTGAACACGTGACCTTCGGGTTAGCGAGCCAAAGTCTTACACATGGAACCACTGCGGCTCCCATTTTAGACTTTATCACCCGACACAATTCTACTTCTTTACATACAACTCTGATTTTAAAGACAAATGAAATGAAATGGGGTTTAACGTCCTACTGTTCTGCTCCTAATCTGGGCTAATGAAGACGGGCATACGCCATACAGTGTGCTATGAGGGAAATTTTGCCCGGACAGCGGCACTACGGCCTACTCTTATATCGAATTCCAACTGCCAAGGGATCTTTTACCCCTCCGTCCTGCATCACTGACAAGGGAGAACCACGCCGGAAAATCTGGATGAACTTTCTCGGCCAATGCAGGGATCGAACACCCGACCTCCAGGCTAGCGAGCTAGCGTCTTACCCACTTAGCCACGTGATCCCCGATTTTAAAGACAAATATAACGCAGAATAGGCCGCTAGAACATTATGCGTTCCGCATTGTTATGGGCACCAAATGTGCTACATCGATTTTTTTGCGTTTAGTAATCTAATTTTGTACAAGAAATTTGTTATCTCTGTATATATGTCTATGAATATATGTGTTTGTTTCTGGAACATTCGTGCTAAAAATGTTTTCTGTGGAAGAACATTGTATTTTGTAATGATGATTGAATTAGTTTATTTGATTTGCGGAGTATGTATATTTTGTACTTAAGGAATTATAGAACACCGAGAGGATACCCGACTTCGCCCGGGGCCAAAATACACCCAAATTCACGGGAGAGAGAGAGAGAGAGAGAGAGAGAGAGAGATGGGGTTTAACGTCCACTCGACACAAACTAGGTCATTTCGGGACTAATATGTTTTTTTTTTTAAATTTTATTTCAATAATGCGCTTGCGCGTAAGTGTCTTTAGCAGTGGGAGGAAACCAGAGGACCCGTAGAAAACCCACGAGGTTGGACAGGCGACCCTACTCCTTGTCACGTACAACCGGAGATTCGAAACCACGCCAGTCGACTTAATGACAGACTTTATGATAAAGGGGGGCACGCTAACCATTCAGCCATGCAACCCCCCAAATTCACGGGTTCATGCTGGTTAATTTGATACCACATATGTGGAATTGGATCGCGGCGACGAAGCTCAATGCGAATAACCACACACCACTACACAGCTATCGTTGATTTTATTTATATAAATAATACTATTAGTCTGTGATTATATGTTATACTAGCAGGATACTCGGCTTCGCTCGGGGGTCATAACTCCGAAACCGGAAGTGGTAGACTAACGCCACCTGGCCTATGTTACTCCCCGGTCCGAGCTACCCCTATACCCCAAATTTCAGAGTCGTGGCAGACCTTGTGTAGCCGCCAACCCCGAACAGACCGGCTTCGCCCGGGGGTCATAACTCCGAAACCGAAAGTGGTAGACTAACGCCACCTGGCCTATGTTACTCCCCGGTCCGAGCTACCCCTATACCCCAAATGTCAGACTCGGGGCAGATGTAGCCGCCAACCCCGAACAGACAGACTTCGCTCGAGGGTCATAACACCGAAACCGGAAGTGGTAGACTAACGCCACCTGGCCTATATTACTCCCCGGTCCTAGCTACCCCTATACCCCAAATTTCAGACTCGGGGCAGACCTAGTGTAGCCGCCAACCCCGAACAGACCGGCTTCGCTCGGGGGTCTTAACTCCGAAACCGGAAGTGGTAGACTAACGCCACCTGGCCTATGTTACTCCCCGGTCCGAGCTACCCCTATACCCCAAATTTCAGACTCGGGGCAGACCTAGTGTAGCCGCCAACCCCGAACAGACAGACAGACAGACAGACAAACGACAGTCACAAATATATATATAGATAGATAATGCTCTAATTGTGCTTCCATGCTTTCATATGTAGAGTGGCCTCCCTTGTGTAGAGTTTTGTAATGGCTGAAGAATAATTAAGATATCACTTCGGTGGAAGCGGACGTTAAATAAAGCTCAATACAAACATTCTGTGAAGATAATACAATGTACTTAAGTCGATCTTTTTACGTTACACTGGTTTTATACTAGATTAAACTGCTTATTTATTTGGAGGGGGAGGGGGAGGGGGGGGGCTATGTGGGTAAGACGCTGAGTCGCTAGCCTGAAGGTCGCGTGTTCGATCCCGACAAAGTTAATCAGGATTTTCCGACGTGGACTCCCCATGTCAGTGGTGCAGGACGGAGGGCCTGAGAAGGACAGCTGTCTAGTTATTCGGATGGGACCAAAAACCAAGGACCCGTGTATACAATGGCGTGCACGTAAAAGATCTCTTGTCAGTTGGAATTCGATATAAGAGTAGGTCATAGTGCCGATGTCCGGGCAAAATTCCCCGAATAGCACACTGCATGGCGTATGCCCGTTTTCATTAGCCCAGTCGGAGCAGAACAGTAGGACGTTAAAAGCCATTTCATTTATTTATTTGGTCACTTTCTTATTTTTGATCGTGACAAATTTAATTGACAGGTAAAAAAAATCCTTGTCGTAAACCCCCTACTCATTGACTGATTCAGAGAGATAGAGAGAGAAATGGGGTTTAACGTCCACTCGACACAAACTAGGTCATTTCGGGACTAACATATGGTTTAATTTTATTTCAATAATTCGCTTGCGCATAGGGGCCGACTCAATGACAGACTTTATGATACAGTGCGCGCACGCTAACCATTCAGCCATACACCCCCCCCCCCCCCCCCATGGACTGATTCAACGTGGGCCCTCAATACATAACAATCGGTAGGGGTATTGGTTTTTTTAATACATGTCATTTTAGAAAGTCTGCTTATCTTTTTCATAGTATTGTTCTTGTGCCGAATGGTCTAACGCGTGCTCCCTAGCTTGTACGTGACAAGTAGTAGGATCGCCCGCCCAACCCCGTGGGTTTTTTGTCCTGGTCCGGTCTCTCTGGTCTTTGGGAATTCGTTAGAATTTCCACATACGTACATAGGGGGGGGGGGGTGGATAGCCGAATGGTTAGCACGTGCGCGCTGTATCATAAGGTCTGTCATTGAGTCAACTGGATTCTTCGGTTACCTCCCTCTGCTAAAGACCCCTACGCGCAAGCGAATTATTGAAATAAAATTGAACCATGTGTTAGTCCCGACATGACCTAGTTTGTGTCGGGTGGACGTTAGACCCGATGGTGTCGAACATTAAACCCCTCTCTCTCTCTCCATACGTACATACTTAAAGCGCACATCAAATACATGTTGTTTTTTCTTTATCTTTTCAGCTTATTACTATAATAGTGACCTATATGAGGATTATTACGAAAATTATCGAAAAATGCAAATGTACAATTTCATGAGGCAACAGTATCAACGAAATGGAGCATACCCTCCTTACTTTCCCCATTATGCGTTTTACGACGACTAAATAAACTCCAGGATCAGGTCAATGACAGGATTTGTATATTGGCTTATCGAAGTTGATATTTGATTAATGTATCTGAAGATAAATTGTAATTCTGTACCCCCCAATACTCATGAATTGATAAATTATTTTATATTCATAATCCACTGGCTTTGATGTTGTTTATTCTTGACTTTCACCCAATCAATGTCCCAAACAATCATTGACTGCAGTCAAATTGCTTAGCCTTAGTGCCAATTAAATGCTAACCATTCCACTCTGTTAAGACATTCACCTATTGAACATCTACACCAAGTTTGAACACCTACACAGAGTTTGAATATTCCATCATAAATAAAAGTAGGTTTATTCTGTTACAATGTCTTGACCAATCAAATAGCGTATCCTTATTTAGCCTTATCAGAAAATGCTCATCACCGAACTTAGTCAAGGTATTGATACAATGCACCCCGTTTCATCTTTTTCACTTAATTAGGATTCAAAATCTCGACCAATCAAATTGCTTACCAGTCTGCTTAACCTGAGCAGAACATGTGCATCACTCTCACTTATTCAGAAACAAAGTTATCGTGTCCCAAAGAATTGACCAATCAACCTGTTTACCTGAGCTTAGTCTAATGCTAGGTTTCCTTTGTCGTGCGATGCGTTACGAAACATCGATCAACACGATTGCTACGACAGAGTCCATATTGAGTCCACGATCTGGTACGTGTAGACATGTTCGGATACGCTTCGATACGATCAACACGATTGCTACGACTGACCTCAATATGTTTGATAACACCTGATAGGATCTCCACGAATACTCCATGATTAAAACCACGATTGCAATCGCAGCACGAATCGTGATAGTGTGAACCTAGCATAAGCATGACGATGAGCTAAAAGGTGCAAAATGACCAACTCTCTGTTTCAGAATGGAAGTCTTACAGTAGGCCGAAAAGTGCTGTCGTGAAAACAGATGTTATCTATTTCCAATAGGTATAATGGAGTTGTCTCTTGCCAGCTCCCCTGTCCTGCATCACTGACAAGGGGAGGACCAGACCTACTTCCAATATGGATTATTGAATTGTCTCTTGCCAGCTCCCCTGTCCAGCATCACTGACAAGGGGAGGACCACACCGGAATATCCCGATGAACTTTTGGGGGTTGGATGGCTGAATGGTTAGCGTGCGCGCGCTGTATCATAAAGTCTGTCACTGAGCCGACTGGCGTGGTTTCGAATCCACGGTTGTACGTGACAAGGAGTAGGGTCGCCTGTCTAACCTCGTTGGTTTTCTCCGGGTCCTCCGGTTTCCTCCCACTACTAAAGACCCCGATGCACAAGCGAATTATTGAAATAAAATTAAACCATATGTTAGTCCCGCAATGACCTAGTTTGTGTCGAGTGGACGTTAAATCCCATTTCTCTCTCTCTCTCTCTCCGATGAACTTTCTCGACCAACACCGGGATCGAACATGTGATTACCTGGTAAACGTCTTATTAACAGGGAGTCACGGTGGCTAAGTGAGTAAGACGGTGGCTCGCTAGCCTGGGGGTCACGGGTTCGATCCCGGTGTTGGCCTAGAAAGTTCATTGAGATTTTTCGGCGTGGTTTCCACTTGCTAGTGGTGCAGGACAGAGGGTCTGACAAGGATAATTGTCTAGTCGTTTAGATGGTACATAAAACCGAGGTCCCGTGTTCACATTGGCGTGCACGTAAAATATTCCTTGGCAGTTGTAATTCGATATAAGAGTAGGTCATGGCGTCGCTGTAAGGGCAAAATGTCCTTCATAGCCCGTCAAAATTACACAGTCGGAACAGAACAGAACAGCCCCATTTCATTTCATATCTTACTCACTGAGTCCCTGTGGCTTCCTATTATCAAATAGATATAGTTCTATTGCTGTAGAATGTACTGTAATCACGTGTTCATTGCAAATGAAATGAAATGGGATTTACCGTCCCATTTTCCTGCACCGACTTAGCATATTGTTCATTGTACGCTCCAAGTAAAAATGTCATAAGTTTTAATTATAGACACTGCACCTACACGAACAGAGTATGAATTGGCATATAAAGATATCAAATACATTTACATAAACTAGTTGAACCGTGATATTAGATTCTGTTGAATTTATTAAATCATGGGTGGTCAACCAGTTATATGCAACTTTTATATTCGTCAGTTTGTCTAGACACGTCTACTTCAATGAGAATTAGAATGAGAGAGAGAGAGAGAGAGAGTTTAACGTCCGCTCGACACAAACTAGATCATTTCGGAACTAAAATATGGTCCATTTAATTTCGCTTGCGCGTAAACGTTATAGAGACATAGGCGAGTAAAACTCCAGGCACCCCACCCCCGCCATCATTGATAACAATGTTAAAACACGGAGAACGCTAGATCGGCGACAGTTCTGCACATTTTAGCACATATGACGTCCTGCTACACTGACATGGGAAAACCACGTCGGAAAATCCGAATGAACTTTCTCGGCCAATGCAGGGATCGACCCAGCGTCTTACCCAGATTTTCTACACCAAACAGGCTCACGAAGACGGGCATACGCTATGGGGGAAATGTAGCCCGGACATCGGTGATTCAAATGTTCCAGCTGTCAGGGGCAAATTTATGTAAATGCCAATTTATGTAAATGCCTGTATTTTTCGTCCCATCAGAACGACTAGACACGCTGTTCAAATAGATTGACCTCGGGATCCCCGGGTGAAACACCATGGCCCCCCATTTTAAACGGGGAATGTTATATAGAAATCCATTACACTAATGGTGTTTAGAATTCCATATCCATTATGCATTATGCTAAATCTGTTGCAGATCTTAATTTATGCCTTAAATGTTACATAAATTAGTAATTAGACATTAATTAACTTACCAAGACTATAATCAACTCTCGATGCCATCGGGTATTTGACGTTTTCAACAGATTTAAATACGATTGACAGTATATAATTGCATAGGCGTACGAGCCAGGGGGCAGGGGGGGGGGGCTGCCCCCCTAACTTTCGGGCAAGCAGACTTTTCGGGCAGAAGGGTAAAGTGAAAAACATTTTTTTATTTCATCTACTTGGCAATATAAAGTGCCCGAAATCTAATAAAACACTAATTGTACGGGCTGGAATAGCAGTAAAACGCGTTTGCGGCCGTCAAATATTCCCAAATTTTCTTCGGGGGTCCATACAAGGTCAGTTCTGCTTCTTCACGTCTCGAAGAAAACCGGCGCCGCTGTCTGTAAACCTGAAATATTTTCGGGCATTTCTAGTTTTTCTTCCCTAACTGTCATTGAGCCCTAATAAAACACTAATTTTACTTTTCTTTTAATTGAATACCACAAATTTGTACTGAGTTGACTATGGATTAAAACATTTTGTCTGTAGCCACTCTACTTTGTGCGACATTTTTCGAGCATCGATTATTATTTGCGAATGCAGCTGCAACGGTTTGATTGGATGGTTGGAATTCAGAATGGGATTTCGGTTACAAAACCATTGGATACTTTTGGAGTTGCTTACACGGGCTAGAATAGCAGAAAACGCATTGCGGTGGTTAGATTTTCAAAATTTTCTCGGGGAGGGTGAGGCCCCGAGGGTGAGGCCCCCCATACAACGGACGATTGATTGGTTGTTTGGAATTCGGGGTCAGCCAGGTAGACTATATTGGACCAAGTTGCTGTATTCACAGACTGGAATAGCAGGAAAACGCGTATGCGGCTGTTAAATTTTCTCCAAGCGATCCCGTCTCCGTTAATTGATCTTTTGTTTGGAATTCGAGACAGCCATCTTAATTAGGCTATATTAGACCACTTTGAAGTTGCTTGGTTCGCGGGCTGAAATAGTAGGAAACTATGTTTGCAGCCGTCAAATATTCAAAAAATTTCGGGGGGGGGGGGGCGGGGGGTACAATACAAGAGGAGCTATGCTTCTTCGCCTCTCGAGGAATATCGGCGCCGCTGTCTGTACACCCGAAATTTTTTCGGGCATTTCGGGTTCTGCCCCCACTTACTGTCATCGAGCCCGTACGCCTATGTATAACTGATTTAATTTAATTTAAATATGGATAATCGAAACTTTGTTTATTATCTTAACAACGAGAGCAATGACATTCAAAACAACACTGTTCTTCTAAGAACGATAATTCAACGGTTATTCCCTTTCCATGATCTATTTTTAACTATTATACCGAGAACCGTCAGCTCTTTATCTAAATCCTACTTAAAATACAGATGTGACGTCACCCTTTGATGTTGGCGTACCATTATTTCAAATAATCGTACGGGCAACTTGCCAATCGTACCTTGTCAAATATTAGACTCGAGTGACGTATTTCACTGTAAACGCACGTGCGGAGTGTCTGTATTTTAAGATGTTTAATGGTCTCGAGCTGAGACATTGCGTAATATATTGTAAAAACACTCGGACCTGACGGTCCTCTTGTTGTTACAATATATTACTTAATGTCTCGCTCTCGACCATTAAACAATACATAATGCCCCATTAACCGATATGTTACATGTCAAATTCCAAAGATTAGATTGCAGTGTCGCTGTCCGGACACAATGTCCTACGTAGCACACGGCATAACGTATGCCCGTGTTTATTAGCCCGGTCGGGTCAGAAAATGAGGGGTATCAAATGTTTACTTAAACATATACTAGCCACTATGTAAAATAATATATAATACATATATTGACAATAAGGGTGGAGTGAATCGAATGTTATCTCAAGCCGGATGAAAGTTGATCTTTGTCACACTATGAACAATCCCCAAATAGTTAAAAAAAAAAAAACAGCTCCGCACATAACTGTCCACTATTGGGCAATTTTATTGATAAAAGAAATATGTTGATATGTTTATTTCACTCTTTTATATTGATATTTATATTTAATTGTTTACATATTTCTAATGGTTACGTCAGTTTGTGGGAATTCCCTATTATAACTGTCACGCGGTGAACTAGTGTTTCTACACAATACTAGGTTATAATGAGTGGTATCTTTAGGCAACACAAATAAAATAAGTTGTTTCTCGGGCACCGCCCGCACCCAAAATTGGTTGCGCGTGCGGCCTATTTATTAGTCTTGATGAAAAATAAAAAATATGTAACGCCCGCCCGAACATCGATAAGCAAGTCATAAAAAAAATATGCCGCATGTATATCTACATGCCCCATACGTGAATATCCATTCAAATGTATTAAACTAATTCAGATGTAAACGCTCATTTACGGGTCTTTTTTTTATTGATATCGAAAGAACCTCACGTGATTTTAATTACCTCCCCTTGTGAACTAGAATTTGATTCGTGTTGTAAACACCGGAAGTCATTGACAACAATGCAATGTATTTCAATCATTCAATCTTAATCGGCTCATTATTGCCGGCTTCAGTCGGTCCATGTTTGAAAAAATCCTATTTATAAAACAATGAATCGTAGAACAGGTTAATTATTATAACTTGTGGCTACGAATACGATACGATGATAGTCACCATACCTTAGTCAGAATCTGGGTCATTAGCACATTTAACGGTAGTTTTGATAATCCGGAAAATAATAATTGGATTACACATTTGATGGTTTTACTGACGAGTTGTTAGTTAAATTTAAATAGTCATTCGATATAAACCCCAGATAGAACACCGAATATCCTGAGAAACACACCGAATAACCTGAGAAACAGTCATTTCCCGAATCCCGATGACACGTGACATGCATTGGTTGGAATTAGGTCAATCATTATAAACCAGCGATACTAGATTTAGATCGAAGTGTCGTTTACCGTGATGATTATTTTTGATACACATGCTGACAGAGGCTTACTCTTTAAAATATTGTCGTTATTATGGACGGCGATTAATAGTCGTACGGAATTTTATTTTAAACCAATTTCAATTATGGTTGTCACCTTTACCATTAGTAAGCTACATTACGTGGATTAAATATGGAAAATTATTTTCCTTTCAGTCAGTGTTCAGTGTTTGAGTAGACTTGATTTATGGGTTTATGTTTTAAGTATGTATAATATATAACTGAAAGCAAAACCGTAGACAAGTAATGACTTTCTCATTAAAAAGAAAAAAAAAATACAAGGCCGCCCTCCCGCCCCAACAATTTTCAACAAGAGGCAAATTTTATTTTGCACCATCCTCTAGCCAGAAATGAGATAAAAAAAAAAATAAACCGCCCTCCCCCCTACAGTTTCAGCTGTCAGTTGCCCGAGAAACAAGACATTTATTTTGTGTAGCCTTATATATACAAAGTTAATTCAAGGATATAGTGCTAAAATATATGCAATTGAGTACGTGTCATGTAAACATTCAGTCAAACACATCACGACAGGCGGTATTTTCTGGCAGATTGTTAACGGTATTAATGTCTACCAACTATTATGACATGGAGGGATATTGTATTGGATCAACGCAAACTCGCGCAAAGAATAAACTCCTACAGTGACTGGACTTCTCCGAAATCGTATATTGAATTAGCAGCTGCTGGATTCAGGTAATAGTCAAAGTACATTATATAATTTGAATTCTTAGAAGGGGAATGGCAAGGTTTGGGGGCGTTTGGAAAAGTTGGACTATGTACGATTTATGAAATATTTTCTATTTATTTTGCTGGAACATTAATAGTATATCATGTCATCTTGTACGTATATTCTATCGGATTTTTATTCTGTGTGGGGTTTTTTAATGCATGAATTCCACAAGATATTGGACATCATTTTTTGTTTTAAATTTCTTCTCAGACCCCACCCCACCCTTCCTATATTATTCTATGGTAACAGATTCCACACGATTTTCGACTTTGTTTATTATCATAGTTACATTACAATTGAGAGGGGGTGGGGGGGTTGATGGCTGAATGGTTAGCGTGCGCGCGCTGTATCATAAAGTCTGTCATTGAGTCGACTGGCGTGGTTTCGAATCTCCGGTTGCACGTGACAAGGAGTAGGGTCGCCTTCCAACCTCGTGGGTTTTCTCCGGGTCCTCCGGTTTCCTCCCACTGCTAAAGATCCCTACGCGCAAGCGAATTATTGAAATAAAATTAAACCATATGTTAGTCCCAAAATGACCTAGTTTGTGTCGAGTGGACGTTAAACCCCATTTCTCTCTCTCTTACAATTGAGATTATCTTGTTAAAACTTCAAGCACTCATAACTATAACAATTGGGCAGATTTAGCACTTGAATAATACATATTTAAAATATGTGAACACATAAACTGGGTCATATAAACAATATCAACATCAAATGATAATAATTATTAAAATAGTTGGGATCACGTGGCTAAGGGGTAAGACGCTGGCTCGCTAGCTTGGAGGTCGGGTGTTCGATCCCTGCATTGGCCGAGAAAGTTCATCCAGATTTTCCGGCGTGGTTCCCCCTTGTCAGTGATGCAGGACGGAGGGCCTGACAAGGACAGCTGTCTAGTCCTTCGGATGATACGAAAAACCGAGGTCCCGTCTATACATTGGAATGCACGTAAAAGATCCCTTGGCAGTTGGAATTCGATATAAGAGTAGGCGATAGTGCCGCTGCCCGGGCAAAATTTCCCTGATAACCCAGCACAGGAGCAGAACAGTAGGATGTTAAACCCCATTTCATTTCATTTCATTTCAGTTAGGACATATGAACCACCATTGCATTTAAAAGTCCTTCCCTGTTAGTCACGTATAGGTAGCAATATGTCGCTGTAATAAGCTTCGTCAATGTCATAATAGATGATAAACAATACACACATGCATGCACTGGCTTGATAACTTATAAAAAGCATATATAGTAACGCCTGGATGATGATTGTTTTTTTATAAACAATATTTTATTCAGGATGTCTGAATGGGCTTGGGGAACAGGCTTAGCCTATGTAAAACCCTGGATGATAAAGCCTTGGGGTAATTTATAACAAGTATATACACGCCTGGATGATAAAGAACACTTGAAAGATCGATTATTTCTCATTTGTTCAACAAGCCGAGTCATCGTCATCGCGTTTTAGTCATGTGGAAGTCATTCAACTTTAGTCACACGTCTCGTGACACATTAACTCTGCTTCTCATTGAGCTAGAATCAGGGCCCGTGAGAGAGGGGGCAGATGGGACACTTGTCCAGTGGCCCGGAGCCTAGAGGGGTCCGCAGGTATGCCGAGTAATGTTTTTAAAATAATGTGTTAGTAAAAATTAATAATAGAATACACTGTTATTTGATCTTAAAGTAGAAGAAAACGGTGACTTTTCTGAATGTGGGTAACTAGTGGCGTGGATAGGATTAGAATCGAATTCTGTCAACCCTCTTTTTGGGGTAAACTGGTGAATTAAAAACTATAAACCATTCGCTCCGCTTAAGTTCCCGTCACCGTCAAAGTATCCGCGTCACCTTCCCTTTGAATCTAGTTCAGCATGATTTTGGGTATTGAAAAAAAATAAAAATAAACGAACAGTATATTTTCACATCACAATCTTCGAGCCCCGAGGGGAGAGACCCCCCCCCCCCACACACACACCACCACCTCATACACCCATCCTTTTTTATACGCCCACATTTTCATGTGGACGTATATTGTCGTCGCCCCTGTCCGTCCGGACGTCTGGAAGTCCGTCCGTCCAAAATTTGTTTGTGGACTCTCTACAGGTCACAATTCTTATCCGATTTTGACGAAACTTGAAATATAGGTTTATCTCCAAACGATCTCGGCTGTTGTCGATATTGGCATGTATCGGATCGAAACTTCATGGATTATGGCCCCTGTTTGTACGAAAACTCACGTTTTTAGCTTGTGGACCCTATAGAGGTCACAATTTTTATCCGATTTTGTTGAAACTTGAAATGTAAGTTTATAATCAAAAGTTTATAGCCCAAAGATCTCGGTTCCTTTCGATATTCGCGCATATCGGACCATAACTTCCTGAATTATGGCCCCTGATTGTACGAAAAATCGCGTTTTTAGCTTGTGGACCCTATAGAGGTCATAATGTTCATCCGATTTAAAAAAAAAACCGTATTATTATATCACGGTTACACCCTAAGGGCGGCTGAGTTCGAATTTCGTAAAAATCGGCCCAAAATTGACGGAAAAAATGGCCGAGGTTCGTTTTCAAATAGCGTAAAAATATGGTATATCAAGGTTGTGGACCCTATAGAGGGCTCAATTCTTCTCCGATTTTGTTGTTCCTTTCGATATTCTAGCATATCGGACCGTAATGTCCTGAATTATGGCCCCTGATTGTACGAAAAATCGCGTTTTTAGCTTGTGGACCCTATAGAGGTCATAATTTTTATCCGATTTCAAAAAAATGGTTTTAGTATATCACTGTTACACCCTAAAGACGGCTGAGTTGAAATTTCGTGAAAATCGACCCAAAACTGACAGACAAAATGGCCGCCCCTCTTACTCAAATAGCGTAAAAAATATGGTATATTAATGTTGTGCACCCTCTAGAGGTCACAATTTTCTTTTGATTTTTATGAAACTTGAAATGTAAGTTTATAACCCAAAGATATCAGTTCCTTTCGATATTCGCGCGTATTGGACCGTAACTTCCTGAATTATGGCCCCTGATTGTACGACAAATCGCGTTTTTAGCTTGTGGACCCTATAGAGGTCATAATTTTAATCCGATTTAAAAAAAAAACCGTACTATTATATCACCGTTACACCCTAAGGACGGCTGAGTTCGATTTTCATGAAAATCGGCCCAAAATTGACAGACAAAATGGCCGCCATTCGTCCTCAAATAGCGTAAAAACATGGTATATCAAGGTTGTGGACCCTATAGAGGTCACAATTTTAATCCTATTTTGATGGAACTTGAAATGTAAGTTTATAACTCAAAAGATCTCAGTACCTGTCGATATTTTGTGCATATCGAATCGTAACTTCCTGAATTATGGCCCCTGATTGAACGAAAAATGTTGTGGACCCTGTAGAGGTCACAATTTTAATCCTTTTTTTATATGAAACTTGAAATGCATGTTTATAACCCAAAGATCGTGGTTCCTTTCGTACGAATTCCTGAATTATGCCCCTTTGATTTAACGAAAAAATCACTTCTTTTTTTAGCTTGTTCTCTGTTCATCTCTTGCAAAATGTGGGCGTATCTTGCATGGCAACCGCTTGTTTATATTTAATTACATCGAAGTATTGAATTAGTTTGATAAGAAGCATTGTATGCTTATGCTATGTTTGATAGATGGATAATTTACCCAAAGATGCACGTGTCATTAATTACCATGTCATCTCTAGATTTTGGGATTGAGGACAGAACAAAAAAATAAAATTAAGTATCCATTGTATATTTCACAATAACTGACATTACAAAACGAATGCAGTTTGCAAAAAGACGCCAGGGGCAATTAGAACACATAGAAAGTTTATCCTCATTTAAGATTTTAATCGTGGTTTTGCCCATTAGGACCCAAGGCGAGAATCGCCCCAAGATCAGAGTGGTGCTGCTATTGCCCAATAGATGATGAATTTCGCATTTGTGCTATAACAAATAATAACTACTAGCGAAAGACCCGGCGCTGCACGGGCTGTGCCTATAACTTCGAAACCGGGAGTGGTTGTAGGCCAACGCCACTTAGCCCGTGTTACTCCCTGGTCAGAACCACCTCTGTACACCAGATTGCAGCCTTGGGAGAGCCCTATTGTAGCCGCCAACTTTGAACAAACAAACAAAAGACAATCACAATTAGTAGTGTAGATTTATAATTGGATGTAGAAATGTTTAATATAGAAAAATGTTGAGTGGAGATGAAATGAAAATGTATTTAACGTCCTACTTTTCTGTACCAGGTATACAAAGCTTATTGACCGTGTCTGTAATACCGTGGAAGATTACGCCTGCATTTAAAGTAAATTGTGCGCTAATAGTGGAAGGAGTTATATATAAGTCTAGAATCGAAATACCTTGGTACCTGAATCTTTAGTAGATGAACAGCATGTGTGATACTATTGAATCATCTTCAGCCCTTGGTCGATAAGTTCCAGATTGGGGTGGGGTGGTCAGGATGAGAGAAATTAAACTGAAATTGTAGCTTAAATTTGCATTTCTAAATAATGCTAAAAATAAAATTGGTACATTCTATAAGAAGACTTAAAGTAAAATATTTCAAAATGCAGTCATTTCATTGTACTTTTTATCTCACACTCGTCAGCAAAAGATGTCCAAGACGAAAAGTCTGCAAGATGTTGCCATAATTAAACAAACCAAGATCCTGAACAAGAATACCAAAGTGGATCATCCGACAACATATAGGTTGCTGCAGAAGTGGATAAGTTCAACTATCTGGGCAGTATCGTCGAGAAACGTGGGTAACCTGACAAGGACATCCCCGTCAGTATTTCTGAAGCTTGTGTTGGGTTTATCATAGCTCCCGTAAAAAGGCAACACCTAGTAACTCACGTTTGTCTTATTTTGAGAAAACAAAGGAACGTAATGACTGAATATTAAACCCCAGCTTATGCATTGATTTGACTATTGAGTTACTAGGCAAATGAAGGAAGTTGCTAGGTTGTGTCATGGGTGTAACTGCTTACAAAATCAAAAGATTGGAATATCTAATACAACAACAGGAAGCACATACCCTAGTAAAACTACAAATTTGGTCCTAACTCAATTTTGATAAAAAAAAAAGTGAGTTACTGTATAGGTTTTGACTTTTGACGGGAGATAGTGTGGACAAACAACTTGTCTGTTAGACCACACTCCAGTCATTCAATCCGAATTTCACGTATGTTGGGCAAAGCCAAGTGTATTCACCCACAGTTGCCCCAGTTTTATCGAAGATACTGCCCAGACATCCTTAATGATGAAGGTTTAAAGCGGCGTTATTGAAGATTAGATACTGAGCTGGAAATTCTTGCTATAATCGTTTAAAAATAGATAGTGCAAAGAGAATATCTTGAAAATTTTAGTCAACTCCGATTATTCAAATCTGTTTAAAATCGTAGCGATCAGATGGCATCGAGGTTTGAATATGATCTTATCTTAAAAAGTGTCTAATTAATAGTGTATATAATATTTAGGGCCCGAGGAAAAGTATGCAATAGGCAGATTTAGATCTTGCATATTGATGTTTAAGTATTTTGTGGTCGAGGATGCGGGTATTCGGCCGTGTATCTATTATCGCCCGTTACTTCAGTCAGATATATAGAAGGATAACTCTTGTTTTCCATTTTTTGCACCACTTCCGTTTCTTCAACTCTTCGTTACGCATCTACCGTACCAATGATCTGTGTGTTCAAATTATAATTTGAATGTGTTTAACCAGTTCTATCACATGTGACAATGGCTTACACCAATATTGTCCTTTCATTTATCTTTTGGTAATCAGTTGAGCAGTACCGTGTTGATAAAACATTTTAAGAATGAAAAGTCGCAAGGGTCCAGTTCAATTTATTACCAGCGTTGACTGTCTATTTAACAGTCGCGATTTCCTGGCGATCAAGTATAGTACAATAATACTAAGGGTCGCTGAAATTAAAAACCCGGAAATCCAAAATGCCATGAAATCCCAGATCTATTTCTATCTCTCCAGTCAGTGAAATGAGATGCCTGCAACAACAATGAAGAGGGACATAGAGTGGAGCTATGGTCTATTCGTAATTCAAAATCCAGTAGTCAACTGACACCGTATGCATGATACCTCGGGTTGTCGTACCATCCGAACGACTAGACACTTCCTTGCCTGGCCTCGCATCCTGCACCATGCTAGTAAATCCCTGGAAATTGTTTCGACCAACACCGAACCTGGCATCTCCTAGCTAGTTAGCTTGAGGTTTAATTAATCACCGTTTCCCTATTAATTTATAAGTCATCAATGTCTTGCATGTAATAGGATATCATTACTTTCTAGAACGTCTGATACTACTACTCAATCCATGAGACTACAAATTTAATTTGTTCTTTTATATTTACAGTTATACTGGCACGGCAGATAGAGTTAAGTGTGATTACTGTAATAAAAAAGTTGTCCAATGGACTGTCAATGATGATGCATTAGAAGTTCACAGCAGATACGGACCAGACTGTATATATTTAAAGCATCTTGGATACACCCGAGATTTAAATTTGCCGCGTTTCTCAAAGTTTTCGAAGTTTGTGGACAGATTAGAATCTGTTAGGACTGTACAAGAAGAATATCGACTAAATCTTCCCCCTTTTGAGTCTATTGCCGAAGCTGGGTTTTTCTATCTTGGAACACTTGATCGGATGAGTTGCTATCATTGTGGTTTAATTTTGAGAGATTGGGAAAGAGACACCGACCCTTTTGCCACACACAAACGGTTTCGTCCTGGGTGTTATTTCATTATATGTTGGAGTGTCCAAACCTCTGGTAGAAACATAAACTCTCTTATAAATCCTTACACGGAAAATCAATCAAGCCCATTGTCGAACCTAGCCCAACAATCTCCAACAACAAAAATAGGTGGAATACTTGTTAATCTAAGTGACTCAAGGACACCCAGAGATCAGAAGATGATTGGGGCATCAGAATCGACTAACGATTATGGAAATAAATCTGAAATACGGTATCCTACTAAAGCAGGCAAAGGGAACACGCCTAAATTAACACATAATCAGATCACATCAACATGCAAAGGACAATTCAACAACAGTTTTGTACCAACCTATTCCTCAAATATTGATACGGATGTTCCTGATGGGGCAGATAATGTTCATGGTACCCCTCCAAACCAATTGAATTCTAAAAATGCATCACCGAAGACAAAGAAGAGCCGCCATAAACATAGACAGAGGCTACAATCGTCCGATAGCGAAATGGAGAAGAATAAAATAAAAACTGACAATGGAAAGACTGATAAAACAGGTGATGGGAACACCAACCAAAAACTGAAAGCATCTCAAGCAACCGGAGCTAGCAATTCCCAGACTTCTTCTGAAAAGGAGCTTAAAAACGCGAGGAAGAAGAAAGCGTCGGGGATGCAGAAGACCATTCCAATTGCACCAACCGTATCAAATAAAGAAAGAAATAATGATCCTTTGAATCTTGGTAAGGGTATATTTGGTAGTAACTGTTCGCTTCCTAGACACCGTAAGTCAATGTTTACATCGTCAAACAATTCCCAGATTCCAGAAAGAGTTTCATCAACTGCACACTTTCATTTGGCAAAGCCGTTAAGCGATTCCCTAGATCAACAGCGGCATACGCCATCAACTAACAATTCATCACTAGCGGGGCAACCGTATGTATCCAATGACAGTTCATTACCTGAGGGTCAAACGTATCTATCGTACCAACCAAACATGCCCGAAATTCATTCACCAGAATTCGAAAGCCAACAAGCTGTATCCCACGCAGAACTACAACAGCTTCAAAGCCTACCCGTAAACCGCACACATTTTCCAGAACTTGCAGTTAGTACTGCTGCTGCAGACAGTCACATAACCCAATCTCTACCACCAATGTTTAACCCAGAAGGTTTTAGCGATCTACCAATGATTCAGGCCGTATTACAGATGGGAGAGGTCAGCTACGATTCCGTTGTTAATACCATCTGTACCAGATATAACACTCACGGTGATACTTTCCCTGATGCACAATCTTTGTTATCAAGTATTTTAGACTGTGGCGAAGATTAAAGATGCTTTAAGTAAGAGCTGAACCTACTTATTGGATGTCTTTAGTTTCGCTTCAAATGTTATATACACTATTAATTAGACAGTAGAGACTTTTGGCAAGCGTAAATTTCTGGTCCGTATCCCGTATCCGTATGGATTTTGCGTATGACGTCATCGATGTGTGTATATTTCTCATACGTGATACGACACACGGATACGGCAGCACGTATCGAACAGCTTTTATACGGAAAGGTCCGTATAACATTGTCGTGTCCTTTTACCGTCTTTTTTGCTATTTTTAGACGCTGAAATGTTGTATCGTAGTGTTTTTATGAATCTTTGTGTATTCTAGAACATGAAGGTGTATATTTGATGTGATTTTAACCATGATGGTTGAACTACGTGCTAAATTTAGGGAGGCGGAACCTTGTAAATCTATAAATGATTTTATTCTGTGGTAAAGGGGTATAAACTTTCTGAAATGATACATTAGTGAAACCAAAAATTGCAGTCGAGTCGAAGTCGAAGATTTTAAATAAGATTCGACATTAATTTTTTTTAATAGCTCGGCTCTAATAGGCACTTGACTAGTACTGATGGTGATCTTGGTAGATATCTGCCATCATGCTGTAATAGAACTAAGCTCAGCTGATCGACGCACACGTACGCGACACGAAAATCTGCCAAAACTCTTAAACTACAATGACGCAACGTATCACGTATACGATACGGATATGTGATACGGATGGGACAATTCCGCTTGCCAAAAGTCTCTATTGATTCACATAACAAGCCCGTAATATACTCGCTAGACAATCGGATAGCTGAGATCTAAAATGACTAAAACAAGGATGTTCGTCCACAATCATGTCTGTTCTGTCAAATGTTCATGATTAATGTCTACCGTACTTGTATATTATGTATAACGTATTGTGATTAATGTCTAATGTCTACCGTACTTGTATATTATGCATACGTATTGTTACTAATTTCTACATTACTTGTATACTGTATATGTATAACGTATTGTTACTTACTTATATATTGTATTGTCGGACATATTTCCGTGTTTGTGTTGATTTTGTTTAGGCCGGGTACTGTGTTTTTGTTGATTTGGGAGGTTTCATGTTTTTAGTGCGATAAATTTATATATATATATATATATATATAAAAAATATATGATATATAGTTTTATATAGTGTACGATAAATTATTATATATGTGAATAATGTTAATAAACATAACTGTTAGAATTTTTATTTTATGATTTTATGCTATGATGTACACGATGTACTATGTTGGGGAAAAGAAATGGGGCTTAACTAGGTCATTTCGGGACTAACATATGATTCAATTTTATTTCACTAATTCGCTTGCGCATAGCGGTCTTAAGCAGTGGAAGGGACCCGGAGGAAATCCACAAGGTTGGACAAGCGACACTACTCGAAACCAGGCCACTTGACTCTATGACACAGTCCCTGTGATTCAAACTATTAGACCACCCAACCCCCAGGTACTGTTAAGGAAACAGCTGGCCCATTTTACTTTCACTCAACACCAAATAGAACATTTCGGGACTAACATAACATGGTATAATTCAATCCATCCCGACACTTTGAACTCACTAACATACCACGTTTCTTTAAAAGCTAGAGCAAGATTGTAAAAATATCCTCAAACTGAGGATCACAACATATTTTTAATCATATTAACTCCAAAAACTCATTTCAATTACAGTGTTAAACACGAGAACTACCTAAACTAGCCAAGAAAGTAAACTAGATCTACTTCAATAATTAACTAAAACCATAGAATCTATGTAAACATATTATTATACAGGGGTTAAATCTATTTGCTAAGGCCAGCTCCCATGTAAATAATGTTAGGGCACGTGGTTGCTGGTGAGATTGTAGGAAAGGTTTAAGAATTTGGGGTGAGGTTAAGTCTCCACAAAAGCACTGACCTATAGGGTTGGGTCCAGGGTTATGGATATGGTTGGGAGTAGCGCTAGCCCTGTTTACATCTCGTGACCTATGACGACAAATTGAGCTGGCCTTATCATTTAGCACTAACCATTGAACAGGGGTGTTGAGAATAATTTAAAGATGTATTATCTAAGAGCTAAATCTGATGTCTATTGTAGGTCTTTCTTTTGGCTTCAAATGTTATATAAGCTATTATTTGTGACTGTCGTTTGTTTGTCTGTTCGAAGTTGGCGGTTACACTAGGGCTGTCCCGAGGATGAAATTTCAGTTCGGAGCAGAACAGTAGGACGTTAAACCCCATTTCATTTCAGGATGAAATTTGGTGTATAGGGGTAGCTCGGACTGGGGAGTAATATAGTCTAGGTGGCGATGGCCTACCACTTCCGATTTCGGGATATGCTACTTCAGATTCAACCGCTACTATATTAGACATTTATTAACATGACACGACAAACGTAATGGCCGAGAATTCAATGGATATAAACTTCCGTGAGATTTGAAAACTTAGCGATGAAATATGACAATCGAGGCTAAGTCTCGGTTGTCAAGTATCATTGCTAGGATAATGAACTATCTACGCTTTATCTTCAAACGGGCATAACTTCGCTCAGCATAAAGAAATTTGAAGCATATTTTCATTATCTATTCTTGAACTATTAGCGCTTACACAAATGAAATGAAATGAAATGAAATGGAGTTTAACGTCCTACTGTTCTGCTCCTAACTTGGGCTAATGAAGACGGGCATACGCCATACAGTGTGCTATGAGGGAAATTTTGCCCGGACAGCGGCACTACGGCCTACTCTTATATCGAATTCCAACTGCCAAGGGATCTTTTACGTGCACGCCAATGTGTACACGGGACCTCGGTTTTTCGTCCCATCCGAACGACTAGACAGCTTTCCTTGTCAGCCCCTCCGTCCTGCATCACTGACAAGGGAGAACCACGCCGGAAAATCTGGATGAACTTTCTCGGCCAATGCAGGGATCGAACACCCGACCTCCAGGCTAGCGAGCTAGCGTCTTAGCCACGTGATCCCCTAGCGCTTACACAATGCATCGTTAAACATACACTATGCAAGAGGTAAATCCGCCTATTGCAAGTCTTTATTTAGGCTTCCGATGTTATAGAAATTATTAATTAGACCTTTATTTACACAAGCTAAAAATCAACTCTGTAGACCCACGGATGGCTTGGATACAATTTGGATTTTAACAGTCGTTCATTTAAAATTTAATCAATAAATGGCAGACCAAGCTAACGTTTACCCTTAGTCGCTGATGTCACTACCGGAAACTGGTGATGAAAGGTATGCCAAGCGAGGCTACCATAGCCATTTAGCATGTTACTTGATAATCGAGAATATGTAGGTGGTGTTGTCATCTGTCAATCAAACGATCGCCAATGTTCATAGACGGTGCAGACACAATTGATGCCTATTTCTAGTCCAAACTTCCAACAGTGACAATTCCGTTCAGAACAAAGTAATTTGACTGAAATTTGACATTTTCTTTTTATCATTTATTTTTGAATTATTATAGCAAGAATGGCCAACTCTTTATAAAACTCTTAACTAAAGTATCTTTAAGGAAATTGTTTAACAAATATTAACATCCTCATTGCATGTGAAGAGTCGTGAATATTCGCCAGAATAGAACTGGGTCACGTGTATTCACGCGGCTTTAAATGTCCACAATATTAATTTTGTACGGAAGACCATTAGGGTCAATCAAATGAAAAAAAAATATTCTGACTAGTAATCTTGTAACTATCTTGTAATTACAAGATACGGAGTAGCCCATTAGGGTCATCACATGAAAATAAAGTGTTCTAACCAGTTTATTTCAAGGTCGCCCTACACTGATTTATCGGATAGCTAGGCAAACGAAGTACTTTTTTATGTTACGGGATCGGTACATTCAGGTCATGCTCTCTATAATATCATTAGCTATTTCGTGCCCTCATTAAAAACCATTCATTAAGTTCATACTCTCATTAACTTCATAGTCCCACCAACTTCATACTCTCATTGATATCGTTTATTAATGATTCATTGATTTCATGCTCTCCTTAAAGATACTTTCCCGCGTACAAACTATGTGATATGATGATATATTTGGACTAAAAACATATTCAGACTAATTAATCTAGCAAAAATTTGCTTCAAATCCCTCTCAAAACTTTGTATTCGTCGGGAGATATCACAAGCTATAAATAAACTGTTGTTAGACGCCGTGTCCATTTTTCAGAATGTATTTTCGTTACTTACTGTCCATTTATCGTACATATTGAGACCTAAGTAAATTTCTAATCAATTATGTTCGGTGAATTACAGTTCAAATTGAACGGAAGTCGTTTACGCCTGCTTAGTGCATTCTACACGTTTTTTAAATTATTATTTTGTCGTTTGTGAATCAGCCTTTACTAATTACTTCCACATTATGTTGTAGGATATGTTTTTATTTGTTCATTACAAAATGGCACCCGAAACCATAGGGTACTACTAATAAAATGTTAATTGTGTCTTAAATATTGGATATTAGGATGCTATAGTTTCATGGCAAGATAACAACATCAATATTGATTGCAATTGATCAATATTGAATTCTAATTCGTGTTTTTAATTTCAAATATTGTGGAAAACATTGGGTTAGAGACTTAGCTCCTTAAAACATACATTATGCAAGAGCTAAATCTGCCTATCGTAGGTCTTTCTTTAGGCCTGAAATGTTATATAAACTATTAATTAGACATTTATTAACGTGACAAGAGAATAATCAACTCCGGTTTTCAACAGATTTGAATCATATCTGCTGTTCAATGGCTGTTGATGATTCTAATTATATTTGCAGTCAAGGTGTTAAGACGTGTTTTATGTGCTCTCTGATTTAATCCTGTATAACGTTGAATATATCTGATGTTGAACATTACCGAGTCTTTAAAGATAGTAACTTACTATCTTGGATAAAGTACTAGGAGGAATCGGTGTGATTAATGAAGTATTTGTGTGTATTTTTGGAATATTTCAAAAGGGTAATCGTTGACTATTGCACTTTTAAAGAACTAAGAGGGGTCACTGAGGCGGAAAAAAATTATCATTCACACTCATGCCTAAAGGTGGACGATACAGTAAAAAAGGTCACACGTTGAGGCCTCGCTCACATCATCAGATAACATAAGTAGTAATGGCAATGGTGAGATATCTTCAGTATTTGCTTCTGCAATGAATACCCTGTACAGAGATGATAACATCGACGTGCCTTCAACAAGTACTCCTATAAATCCACCCAAAAAAGAACCTAAGATTACAAACTCATCACACCCAATAGAAAGACAACTACAAATTATGACTTCAACTCTTGATACTATCAACAAAAGACTTTCTAAACTGGACGTAATAGAAAATAAATTGACAAATGTAGTAAAAGAAATATCATCGGTGAAACTAGAGGTATCCGCAAACAGCGAAAAAATAAGATCTATGGAACATAAATTGAATCTCGTAGAGACAAGTATGGAATTTCAATCTGTGACAACGGAACAACTCATAGCAGAAAAATCTGATTCTTCTGAGAGGCTAAGAGAAATGGAAAAGCTAAGTATCTTGTTAAAGGAAGAAGTGGTGGACTTAAAATGTCGCAGCATGCGAGACAACCTCCTGTTTTTTGGAATAACAGAAAGGAATGATGAAAATTGTACAGACATAATTCATGACTTCATAGTAGACCACTTACAGATCAGAGATAGCAGGGAGAGAATCAAAATCGACAGAGCCCATCGGATCGGGAAACCAGTAAGACAGCATGGTGGCAGTGTGTCAAATGTGAGACCCAGACCTATTGTAGTGAAATTTAACTACTATCAAGATAGACAGGAGATAAAATCTAAATCTAAACTTTTAATAAATTCAAACTTTGGGATTTCGGAACAACTACCCAGGGATATCGTCATGAAAAGAAAATTGTTGATGCCAACCTTCAAGAAAGAGAAGGAAAAGGGTCGCAAAGTCTACTTTATCAAAGATAAACTATTCATTAATGATATAGAATACAAAGATTGTGGAGCTAGTCAACAATAGGACATAAAGGGAGGTAATCTTTCAACTCATAAATAACGGTCTAACACGCAAGTTAAATGATGACGATTTTGTTAACTTTATAACTAATTATGATGTTATCGCCCTCTTACATGTTGGTCAATATACCACTC